ATCTTTATTGGCTCACTGACGGTGATGAGATTAACCCCTTAGGTATCGAAATTTGGTAACGAACGACGAGACGTTTTTCGATACTCGATGGTATCGAGGCAATTCAGTCGGTGCCTAAAAAGTATCGAACTCGATACCCAGCCCTAATGTTGAAGGTGTCTGAATAAATTTTGGTTTGACTGTATCTATTTGATAAATGAAGTTAACCAACTAACATTATACATACTCTTTTGGTTTCTGTACCCAATATTTAAAAAATTTACAAATGCAATAAAAATATTGGTATCGGTACTCAGCATCGACAAGTACCAAAAATAAAAGTATCCGTATCGGGCGAGTACTGAAAAAAGTGGTATCGGTGCATTCCTAGAGTATAGGAGAGCATAAGTTAAACTCTTTTGAGCATTCATGCGGAGTCCCACAAGGCTCAATTCATGCACCGCTCTTGTTTAGCCTGTATATGCTCCCACTAAGTCAAATAATGAGAAAGAGAAATGAGAAAGGGGGGGGGGGTACAATGCTGTTTCATGCATTCAGAGTTGTTTACACTGTTAAAGAGTTGGATTGTCATGCTAAGCATGGCCGAAGTTAAAAAAAATGATTTGGACGTATGACGAAGTATTTCTGTGGCAAAAATCTTACTTCCGGGATCATACAAGTTTCGGAAGGTTTTTTCGATCGTGGCTCTTCATGACATAAACAAGGGTGAAACTCCTTATATGGGCATTTCTCCCGGAAGAACGCGCCCACACACTTCGACCAGATTGAGATCGCGCCCATCAACGTGCTTCATTCGGCAGCGCTGCACGGGACTCGCTCGCGAAGAATGTCTCCAAAGAAGTGTTTTTTTGGTTGGAAGGGAAAGATAGCTTTGTTCAGCTTCCTAAAGAACCCAGCGTTACGTAAACAGTGGATGCAGTTTGCTTTTCGGGGCAGCAACGGAGTTTGACAAGTATGTTTGTTGACGAACGTTTTATAAACAAGGCCCAGTTCGACGCTGGATTTGCACGTTTGATACTGAAAGATGGAGCGGTCCCAGCTATAAAAGATCGAGGTCATGATCCAGAACTGCAGACGGTAAGTGAAACGGCATCAAATGTCTGTGTTTTGTTGGCATTCTGCGCACAAGTGCTCGTCTCTCATTAGCTCTGCCCACGGCGCGCCTCCAGGAGCTCGGCTGTTTTCGGAGAGAATCATAAAGCTGTATCTTTCTTTTATAAATATGATAAAACTAAATACTTTTTGGAGATATGAAGGATGCAATACTACTCTATAGGTACTCAAGAATAACATGAGATTGGGTGAAACTGTGTGTGTTATGTCCCTTTTAAGCATTCAACTGACTTTTAACACCATGTTAAAACCTCTGACAAGTGTTCGGTGATTTAGGCAAACAAAACTAAGCTTTCAGAAGAGCTTGGAGGCTTCTCTAAAAATTCCAAACGCTCTTGACAAGCTCCGACAAACCCAGGGATCAATGTTCGGAAAAAAAAAAAGAAGTGAATTTATGTAGTGCTTTGGGGAAATAGAGCGTGCTGAAAATCCAAGAAGAAGAAAAAAGGAATGAAAACAGAGGAAAAGTTGTCATGAAAAATGAGAAAGCTGGCAATATTCTGAGCAGCTAAAATGGATTCATATGCAAGTTCAAAACAATTCTCAGTTTTTCCACTGAGCTCCATAATACATATCTCGAAATACTGAAAAGGTGTAAAACGGAGCTGCCTTTCACATAAATTACACATTAAGGTATAGAACAAGTCCGGCAAGTGTATAGCTGTTGTTGTTCACTTCAATGTCAGGTGACACCAGGTCAGCCAACTCAAGAGCAAAACAACATTACCCCTCTGTCCCTTATACACGACAATCCAGGGAGGGCCACCTCACCGCCTGCCGTGAAAAGGAGGGGAAGCGTGTGCATGTGCACATGTGACAACAATGGAGGCGCAAAGTTGGAAAAAACAAAAGTCACAAAGATTGTGTCAATTGAAAACACATTAAATTAAGAAGAATCCTGTACAAAAATGTGAATGGGTTTCCGTGAAAATTCATTATCATCTATTCTTTGAAAAACCCAACCTCCTCTGCCCCTATTTTCTCTCCCTCCCTTCTTCCCCTCGCTCTCCCACTGAACATGGATATGAGCAAACAGACATGTGGTGACTCCTGATCCAGAGAGTCCAGTCCATTTAACAGCCCCCACCGCAGATCCACCCTCAACCTTAACCAATGTGTTTGCTGGCTGTAGAAGGTATTCAATTGCCTGTACTGTCTGTGAGGCAGAGCCACCGTGTATTAACCCTTTATTGCTCACTTGTCCGCAACCTTGGGCAGAAAGACAAGGGGAGTGGAAAACTCTGCTACAAGAGTTGGAAAAACTTGTTCTTCTGCTCTGGAAAGATGTCAGCTCCTCTCTGCATTCCACCTAGAGAGTCTGGAGCGCTGTCGTTGATAAGTTGTGCTTGCTAAGTGGTGCATGTTTGATACCTTAAATAGTGTGGCTTATTGAGGAGAAGTGTGCTGTTACTTTGCTAAGTCGTCTGACTTACAATACAATACAACCAGAACAGCCTAGCATTTGGGGTGTAACGGTTCAGATTGCTCAGGGTTCCGTTCGGTTCACAGTTTTAGGGTCACAGTTAGGGTTGTGTACCGTTCACATTTTAACCGGTATGGTACCGGTATCGGTACCTGAATTTCGGTGCCGGTACCCAACGGTACCTTTTTTTGGTACTTTACTCTCTGTGTAATTACAAAAACATTTATTTCAGTGAAAAGATAAGTCCAAAAGTCTCAATTTCAACATTCTGAACAATAGGGCCCTACAAACTTTTTCTTTCTTTCTTTCTTTTTTCCCCAGAAATTCTTGTTTTAATTTTTCTGAAAATCAAATGAAGGCATTAAACATTTATTTTAAATCGAATGAAAATTAAAGGAAGAAAAACTGTGTCAATATTCCTTTAAAACATTTTTAATAGGCTAATAATTTTATTATTTTTTTCTACAATTAAGTGATTAATCTGGTTGTAATATT